CTTAAATTCCATTTCATTGTACATGACCTTCGAATGAGAAACACCAGCGTTAAGTAACATCATTGTCCATGATGCATTGCGGGTTGAACGGGGGTGTCCAGAGCTAATTTACAGCGTTTTGCTTCCTGTAGATTCGTCCGGTTGGCGAACAGAGTATCTCGAATAGGACTATGTAGAGGGCAAGGCAGATGAACTAAGATCGAGCTATAGCTAAATGGCCGCAAATCACCCCAAGAAATTCACACGTTGCATAGGAACAACCATTTGAGCGAGGTAAGTTTCTATTCGAAACTAGATCAGTTCATTTTGAGGTCGAGAGGGCGACTACACATTCCCAAGCAAATCTTTATATTTTGCCATTGCGTAACAAGGACATGTTTGCATATTTACGGAGGCTCATTGGGATACCGGCGGTTGGACCACAAGGACGATAAAAAAACATAATTCTCCTCTAACGTAATCTTCTTTAAACCCGAAAACGAAATTTCAAACAGTTGAGGTCTTTTCAGTTTTTAATTCATATCATCAATTTTTTTACATAAAAAAAATACAGGTTCCTCAGGTTCCGCTGGTTCCGGAGGTTCCGCGGTCCCGCGGTCTATTGATTCACGATTTAGTAACACCCAAATCAAATTGCATTCGATCATGGTACTCGTCCATTTTTCGCCCCATGTTTGCATTCCCTTGTTCTCTTATATGGTGTGTGATCATGTAGAAGCAGATTAACAAATCGACAGTGGTTTAGCGGGTTCTGTGTTATTAAGCGGGTTTTTTTTTTTCGGTATAGTTTTTGATGACCGCCTCAGCTGGAACGAGAAAATAAAGCAGCTTATTTCGAAGGCGGGAAAACGCGTAGGAATGCTCGGCAGGCTTCGTAGAAGCCTCACTAGAGAGAGTTGTGAAAACAAGGTTTTGCCTTCACAAATAAACGGACGGACGGGGACAACTCTTAAAGCCTCCACAAATAAACAGACGGACGGGGACAACTCTTAAAGCCTTCACAAATAAACGGACGGACGGGGAAAACTCTTAAAAACTCCTTCTGGGTAAAGGCTTTCCTTGGGGGCACTCGCTGGCTGTGGGAAGGAACCGGAATCTATTACGGCTGCTGACTATCCTTGAGAGAATGACTAACAACAACAGGGTTGGCTCCAACGTAGATTTATTCTGCAATTTTTGACCAGAACGGACCTGGCCAGGGCTGGTCGACCCTCCTCTTCTTTTCTCTCGTTAAGTCTCTTTTCTCTTCTCTTTTCTCTTCTCCTCCCTTAAGCTTTACAAAACAGTCCTATGAAATGGCCCACGCCGGAGGAGCGCCGTCGTAAATCTGTTTTTAAATTCGTTGAGAAATGCCTGTAAGGTCAATTTCCCCAATATTTTAAAGAATATTTTAAACGTAAAGCAACCTTTTACACCCGCCTGCTGTGTGAGGACTGAGATCACAAAACGATCTTTATATTACTATGGGTGCACTCTAACGAACTATCTTGATGGTATTTCGTATTTATTTACTTCTAAATTTTTTATTTGTACATAGTTTTCTATCTATATTACTATCAGTATCAGTGTAATGCATATGTATTCCATAGTTTTAGTACATCGTTGTGCTCAGGGCTCACATTGATAACAGACAGCTTTTTGCATCTGAAGGGGCTACCCTGAGCGGTATAAATCAATAAAGGTTCTTCTTCTTCTTCTTCGTCTTCTTCTTCTTCTGTATTGTGGGAAGTTTTAAAAGGCACGTGATGAGCTCTTGTTCTGCATCCCTCGTGGATGATCATTTTTTCTATTCTCATGGCCGTGCTGTTTGATTCGACGGTGATAATGCAAGGAGAAATAAGATGCCAATGATTCTCAGGAGTTTAGGGGTTAAGAAAAAAAAAAGTAAAACAGCTTTAAACCAACTGCTTTTCAACTGA